AAATTGTAGATTTAGTTTCAAAGCAATTGGCATTTTTAAACAATTAAAATTTTCGGTGAAAAAAAACCAAATCTTGACATGTAGCATCTGTTTCTACTTTTCTATTTTTAAGATTTTGCCCCGGGAAATAGCAGAAGTTTCAAAAAGACAAAAATTTGAAAAGTTATAAATCCCCCAACACGGGCCCTACCTTTGCAGAAGCGCGGAAAATTGCCGGGCGGGGGAGTATTCGTTCGCAGAAGGATTGATAATAGGGCGGGGCTGTTGTCGGTAAGTAATACTAAATTTTTGTATTATGTCTGTATGTTTTAGGGAAAACCCGCTGGTGAACTGGCCCTCAAATTATACTGTAAAATTATAACATCACATATTATCTCTTGCCATTTATGAAAAACTGTGTAAATGGACTAAGGACGCCATTTGTCCCTAATTTTGGTTAAAACACGTACGAATGTGTGCAAAACGACCCCTAAATACACAGGTATCACTTCGTATGGATGACACTTACACAAAGTAACCTTGTATTGAAACTTTTTGAATTTGTTTTTGTCTGTTTAAAAATGATATCAACGCCCGACGGCGTGGTTTGATTTCAAAGCAGGCTGGGGCCGTCTTAATTTATTTCTTTTTATTTACATAACGTTTTCTACAAAAGAGTAAAGCTATTTATTCCGTTTTATACAAAAATGTTTTAATTGGTGAAAACCATATTCTTTTTATACAAATTAAAGTCCCGGTTTTCCCCTCCATTTCCCTCAATTTAAAAATTCCTTTGGCAGGTATTATAATAGAATGATAAAAAAGACCGTAAATTTCAGGTTCAACGATGTTTTTGTCATACAAACATATAAAAAAAGATTCTCTTAAAAATAAACAGATTATGCTTCTTGAATACGGAGAACAATTTCAGTTTTAAATGTGAATGTGTTCTGATATTCGGTCCCAGCTATGTCACGACTGCTGTCAATATATCTCACTTTTTCTCTAAAGAAATGCTTACTGTTTTATAAAACTTTTCGAGAGTTTTTTTTTTCAAAATACATTCGGGCAATATGCCAATGCACACACAGAACGTATAACAAATAAGCATACAGTACAATCTAATGATCAGAGCTAATACTTTATAAAACATATATCATTAAGTTACAAAGCAATTTAGCAATCGGTAAACGTTAACTTAGAATATATTCTACTATCTCTTAGTGACACAAGTATCAACATGTCTCGAATTATACTACTAATTAATATCATATGTACTAAATAAATACCTGGGACAGATACCATCCTATCAATTAGGGTGTAAATCACAAAACAAAAATAAATATATATTTATTATATAATAAACAGTGTTACAGCATATAAATTCGTTATAAATATTAATATTTCTGGCAGGTTATATGGCTGTATATTAACGGTTATTTGCAATATAATCGTTTATATAGGGTCATTTAACCTGTAAAAAGTCTTTTTAATTAAATATAAAAATACTTTTGTTAATATGCTTGTACATGTATGTGAAATCAGAAAATAAAGTTTCAAATTAAAAACTGCGTCCTGTGCGGATGGCTCTTAAATAACTGTCGCTGACTGTTATATGTTCTTTAAACTAATGCCACTTTGGTATGTTATCTGTTTAGGTATAATAAAAGTCTGACGTATAACAACCTAGGCTCGAAACCCCTGTATTTTGCTTAAGCAATAACTATAAGAATTTACACCACAGGCACAGATATTTGCTGTATCCTTAGCATTGTTGATAAATGTTTACTTCAAATTATGATCGATGTCTTAAATCCTAGTTTCCGCCGGACAGTCTTCGGTCTTGGCTGTTAAATGCATAATATATAAAAGAAAAATAAAGATAAAGGGCACTGTATAGGTTCTTATTTTACTGCGAATTTTTAACTCGAATGGTTTAATATTTTATAAGAACGAACTCAGTCACATACAAAATACATCAGTAATAAAAATCACATACAAAATTCATCAGTTATAAAACAAAATTGTTGTTGTGCGTGTAGTATTCTATTATGATACCTGCTAAATGAGTTTTTACTCTATTTATATTTATAATTACATAGTTCTACACACCAAATTAACACGTTTTTCTCTGAGGTCAAGTAAGGAAAAGCTTGTTCTCGATTGAAAGGGGAGTTTCATGTCAAGTTAAACCCTTACACTGAAATAATGGTATTGGGCCCACCGCCTGGCGTTGTAATCGAATCCACTGCCGTCTGCGTTGAAATCATTTATTTATAAACAGACAGTAACAATTTCAAAAACTTCAAAAATATGCTTGTGTTTTGTTAGTATTAATCATACGATGCTATGTCAGTGTATTAAGGGGTCGTTTTGGACACATTTGTACTAGTTTTAACCAAAATTAGGCAAACGTGGCGTCCCCTCGTCAAACTGAACAGCAGTTAGTGTTTGTATCAATTGCAATGCATTACATCGTGTGTGTGTGTGTGTAATAAGTTTATAGAGAACATATGCGGTCTCCAGTCTCACTAGGTGTTTCCCGTAAAACATCAAATCAAAATTCAGTCATAAACTTACCGACAACAGCAAACAGCCATATTTTACTCCACCGCCGCTGCGATTGATTCACCGCTTCTGCGAAAGCTATGGCCAGTGCGCATATGTTCATACAAATGGGCTTTAGCAACAGAACCGATTTTTTAAAATTTGTTTTAAAACTATGCAAACCCATTTTAGAAGATGTGTATATATAATGTGTTGAAAAAAGTGTTCATCAATGAGTCCCCCTTTACTACAAATAACGTAACACTAGCATATATTTCGCCTGAAAGCGCTGCACAATAGCTAGAAACCATTCAAAGTTAGAAAAAGCAACAACATAAAATATGAAAAATATGTTCTTTTGAAATAATAAATTATATGTTCAAATCTTAATCTTTGTGAAAAGAAATAAGTTAAACATGAATAAAAAAAATTCAAATCACATCAAATATAACTAACATATTAGATTTTCAAACTTTGAGAAATAGCTAACCGTTTTTTTTGCAAAGAATCTGCTATATAAATATCTTTTGGAAAATCGGACTTCCACCTTCCATGTCTTTTTAAACACCGATCATTACCATTATTGTTTGCTGCTACTGAAGCGCCCCCTGCTCTTAAAGAATGAAGACCAATTTTTAAGTTTGGAGCGATGGTCTTACAAAGTGATGTAACACATTCCCTTGCTCTGGTGTAGCTTAAATGTTGTTTTTTTTTTAATCAAATTTAAACCGGATTTAGATTTCAATGCAGGCTTAAACAAAAAATCAGAAGAAACATCTATGTCACCTAAACTTATATACCTCTGTAACATTATAACCAGCATGCTGAAGTAATACCTTTTCTCTGTTTTGCTCTTTCTTAAAAAAAATTTCTAAACTCGTCTGCTACAAAATTATGTTGTCAGGGTATCCATTCTGAAAAAAACGTATGTTGTTTTTGTCACAAAAAGACTGAACATTTTCTGAAACTTCATGCAAATTTTGTTTTCTGCTACCTTTCTGTAAAATTGAAACTACATTCTAATTATCACAATAAACTTTGTCATTCTTTTCTTTTAAAAAGTTTGCGTTACTTTTCATAAGCCTTTCTACTGACTAAATACCAGTTCATTTGGAGCTTTGTGCAAGTCGCTCCAATTACCCAGTACCTCACTGCATTCAATTAAGGCACCCGCACAAAGGGACACATAGCCTCCGTACCCCAGTAGACGCGGCATCAGAAGACCACTCAAAATCACATGTCAATTCTGTATTTATTTCTTTCACCTTTTCATTCAAAATTCTTACATTTCTCCTCCAAAAGCGAAATTCACTTTTGTCAACAAATTCACATGAACCCCAATTTAATCTGGATTCTAAACAGCGATAAAGACACCTTGTTTTGAAAAATATCTTGCCTAAGACACGATCTGACCAATTACGGAAGCTAAAAAGCGAGCTAAAACTACATTTTACTTAACATTCTTTGTTTGGAAAAAAAATCGATCGTGCTTTCTTACCTACAGATTCTTTCATCGGCGGCATGCAGTGTGCCTGTTAACATTTCCCAGCAATAACCGAGCCAAACTGACGTTTGTGCTGCAATCCAATTGCACTTTTCTTCTGCTACCAAAAAACCAAGTTTAAGTAACAACTCATTTACGTAAATACTAAAAGATTTTGTAACGCTAAAATCATTGTGTCCGCCCATACTGCATCTAAAAACATGACTAACGTTTGACCCATTAGCGCACGTGTCGTACTGGTATTCTCATTTAAGTAAAAATGAAACCTGCTGTAGATATTCCAAATGGGAGCACATTATATATGTAAAATGTCTTTTTCCTTCATTTTCCCAAAACATTTTCTATCTTTTGATTTTATTAATTACAATGATAATACGTACAATAGGTGAGATTTGTTGTATTTTTCAGGTCAAGCGTAAGTACCATTTGTGCCATATTACAGCATGATGCGGTTACTTCATTTGAATACATGTTTATATCTATTACTAACCCACAGCCTGATGGAACTGAAAATGGTAATGCGTCAAGTATAGGGTCAAGGCAGTCTACTCACCGTACAGTCTGAATATGCCGTATTCCTAATATGTTTGTAGATTGTTAACATTCCTAATTCTTTAAATGAATTACTCAAAATTCAAGCGGGAAAATTGATGACAAATATGCAAGTAAATAGGGTTCAAGTAACATTTTCATTCATATTACTTCCAACATACATTATTCATTGTAAGTTAATGTTTTACAACTTTTCGAAGATGTATATTTCGGTTGGCAATACTTGACCAAAACTATGGAAGAACAATTGTTTACGTACAATCCTGCACAAAATAAAAGTATTTTTCTTCTTTGAAATTTCAGTGAAATTTACCTTATTCACATGAGGTAATCTTATTCCTGTATAAATGATGCAACAGAAACAATGCAACATGTTGTCATAGAATTAAGATATAACATTATTACATTGATTTGTTAC